TAGAGACATTTCAATGCGCATCACCTACACGAAAGAACTATTCCGATATAAGGAAAATCTTTGTACATGTTGTCAATAAGAACGTCAAGAAGGCTGGAATTGATTTCAAAGTCAATATTCTGTGCCAGTTTTGTTATTGCAAAGGGATGAAAGATTTGCCGACCCGTTTTCATAAACTCTGGGACGATTGTTTCTCCGATACAGCCATTTGCAATATGAAACCAATTGTCGGTTCCAGAAGATTAGATAATCTTCAAGATTATCTTGTGAAGAAGAAACCAGACAAATTGCTACTAACAGTTAATTTATAACTTACCGGCTAGGGTTTATATAACCCACCCCCAGTAGCGAAAATAATGATTAGATTAATGTCCTTAGACATCGTCAACGATAATCGCCAACACATTGGTGCTACTGCAGTCAAGAGAAGGCAGTTCGACAGTAATAACATCAACTCCACCTCAATCACTTTCATTTTCAGCCATCTGACCTGGTACTTTGTTCTTAGTAGGGCCCTTTCGGCCCACTATGAATTTATTTTTCTTCTCTGTTGTTGTTATGTTAAGTTTTTTGTATTTCTGAAGACGTCAAGTCGAAACTTGACAGAAACTAGTCAATAAAAACTACAAAAACAAACTAATTTTTTTATTAAATTTTTATCTTGAGCGAGTGTAGTGATCGGTTGTATCTGAATAAGAATAACCAACTACTCTTATATTTTTTAAACTTAAGGATCTTGGCATACCGAGACTCACCCCAAATAGTTAATAGTGAAATTCTAAAGATACCTGATGAGTCCCTTGAGAAAGGACGAAACGTCGTGTCGATTCTCTGAGTTTCCCAGTCTTATCTTCTATTGATTTATATGTAATAATGGATTCTAAACATACCTGATGAGGAATGGATTAAGCCCCATTGGAAACGCGTCGTGTGATGCTGTGGATCCTTCACACTAATTCTTATATGGAGGGTATGTAGCAGAGTAAAATTTATCTATTATGATTCTTGGGATCATTTGAATAGAATTAAGCCATCTGAGGAGACTTCGTACCGGAGTCGAAACGCATGGCTGCTGCCCTTAAGCATATATTACAGTATATAATAAAACGCTTTCTGTGCAATTAATTTATATTAAAGTGCTCATCAAACATATTCTTCTTTGCCTTTTAGATATTTTAACTGACGAAAAATTCTTTTATAACGACGATTACAGTTTGACGTTATCCCGTTGTGAATTGTCATGCAAAACTACTCCTTGTCAAATATTATAGCTCTGTCGATATTTTTTCTAATTTTCACTAATATAAGCAAATCTTTACAGTAACAGAAATATTCCTAGACTTTCCATTATTGTTTATATTTCAGATCTCTTCTTCACAATCAATATATTATATCAATAATGGATTTCAATCACTATACGAACGAACTGATTTATGATGCCTCACGTTCTCCTACTCCGAACCAGCCTTGCACTGGACAAGAGCATGCAAAAAAAAAGAAAAGCCATGGGAATCGAAAACTACAACGATATCGTCGAAAACTTCAAAGAACAGGTATACAATTAGATACCATTGCTTGTTCAACAATAGATTGGATCGACACAATATCAAGCAATGAAATTACACAGCGAAATCATGAAGGAATCATTCCATTGGTAACTGGAGTAATCTTTAGTCAAGTATCTACCATGAGAAAAGATGAAACTCTTATGAATATACATAGCCACAGTCCAGATTCCAACATAATTCTGAAGAAAATAGAAATTAGTAAGCAACAATTTGATGGTACTACTAAACTTAACCAAGTTTTTCGATGAAAAGGAAAAAATTGACTTAATTCGTCATTATACTTATTTAGCCAGTCGATGATGTTATGTGAAGCTGGACCAAATTCAATGGAACTGGCAGTATTATATTGGTATGACAACATAAGTGCACATGTAGCATTCCAAAACATTTGGCTGAAAAAAATTTCATCTGTTAAACATACGGAACATCTGTAACATTTACAGAACAACGCCACAAAAAAATAAAATCAGCCACAACAAGCACACAACACAGTCCAATTGTTAGAAAACAAATACTACTCAAAACCATGCAACATATTCATCTTACTTCCGAAATGGTGTTGTCTTCGATCATTTATCTTTTAATTAAATGTTAGTTTAAATTATTATATAGATTAAAATGCCACCTGATGAGACTCTTTGCCGAGTCGAAACGCGTCGTGGTAGCTTTATGTTCATACACACCTACACCCACTATCGATACAATTTCCACTATACTTTGGTATAGCAGTGAAATTAAGTCTTAAGTTGATTCTTTTATTAGGATCGATCTTTAGGCTAATCCACCTGATGATCTGCTTGAGCAGCAGTGAAACGCGTTGTGATAGTTTATTACTCACCCCTCAAAAGAGTCGAGAAATACACGAAATTGTTTCATACAATAAAAGAAAACTCTATAGAATGGATGGGATATTGAACCAAATTTTAAAATATGGGTAAATAGCACATTTAACGGTTCTGCTGGAAGGATTGACTCGTCGTCGATGTTGAATTGTTCAGAACCTCTAGATGTAACGGAACTTTGTTTACTGTATCGAAAACCACTTCTACATCACCGCTGGTTTGTCGCTGGTCTTTGAATCTGAATTCTCCTGATCTTCTTCTCTCTGGAAATTTGTTGTCATCCGTATGCTTCAAAAGAAAACAAGAAATATGTTTCAAATGACTATTTCGCGTCATATCTTACCCATTTAAGATTCACCATTGACACATCGGTCAGTTTTACTTTGATCTCTCCAGGTCGGCCTGGTGTAACTTGTTTGTTTATCTCTAAAGTGGAAGAAAACTTCCTTGATGCTGATAGTGGTTCGAGAAGAATTTCACTTACATTGCTAGCTTAACTGCCTTGTGGAATTGTTCTGGTGTCATCAGAAGAACAGTATTCGTGGTCCTAGTGCTTTCTGTCATGCCCAGTTCCACCTTACCGCCTTCTTTTTCTAGAACCTTTGCAGTTTTCTTTTCCAGGTCCTTCGTGGTCACACCACCATGTTTTGATTTTTCCACGAGGTGTTTTTGTTCGAATGACAGTTTGAGAGCGCCTGCTTCCATTTGTTTTCTGCGGTATCTGTTCTTGGAAGGATCCAAGCGTCCAGCACTAAATAATAAACTATTCGCCTCTTGAGGATGTCGATCATGTATCCATTTTTCTGCTTCCATTACTTTCGAATAGTTTGCATTTGATTGAATATCATCAGCTGTTTCATTACGAATATTCTCTATAGATTTGTTTATGCCTTTTGTTTCTAATATTTTACTAAAAACTCCATAAAAACAATCGTTTAACTTAGTTTCGACATCATAGCAGTTTCCATTCATATCTATGTAATAAGCGTGTCCAACTTGATCAGCATTTTTGTCATCTTTACTGCCTTTTTCTACATATATAACTTCAACACCATAATCTATTTCTTTCTGTGTTCTTTGATAATTTTTATCAGCAAATACTTTTAGCTTAATGCCATATTTTTTGGCTATAAGACTTATTTCGGCCATACTAGCAGCTTTATTATTTCTAACATTATCAGCAAGCTCTTGTATTTCTTTATTTACTTGTTTACCATTTTGCATAGCCTCGAACGTCTGTGCATAATAAGCCACTTCACATTGTTCATATGCAATACAATAATCTTTCGAATTATAATTAATTTGTTCAGTAAATGTTCTATATTTTCCATAATTTTTCATAAATATTTTATCTTCTTCTGTTAAATTTGTTTTATTTTTATTAAGTTCATCATATTTCTTTTGATCCTCATTTTGACTATCTGAATTTTGATCTTTATTAACCAAGTAATTATTTTGAATTTTCTTTGACAGACTATCTGTTACACTGCTAACTGCCAATGTTGACCATGGCTGTATTAACTGTGATTCAATTATTTGTATTAATTGTTCAGTTATTTTATCTGCAACAGATTTAATGATTATACTAAATGAATCAT